GGAAGTAGAAATCTTCATTGTTGAATTTGAATTGGATGGAACAGGTGAGTCCTATTATATAGAAATGGGCAATGTTGAGTTTTGGAGATCTAATGAAGAGTGGAATAAAGCCAAACGAAGAAAAATGGGCAAGGCATCCAAAGCCTTCTTTAGATTCCCATGAGTCAATTGCCAAAGTCTAGCTAAAGACTATAAAAAAGCGTTTATTGGAATACAACCCAATTTTCTAACTTTTAATCTTTTATTTAATTTTATGCATTTTTCTTATTTTTATTTGATTAACTATCATTTTTTTTTGTAGGTAATTTTTGAAGTCCCAGATATCTATGGTTCCTCACACGTTTGGGGGTAGATTGGTGTACAAGAAGGTCACTTGTCCAAGTGTAAAAGCATCACAAGTCCAAATAGAGTGATAAGTGCATTTTGTACACTTATTTAGATCATATACTTGAGTTTCTTGTCGTCAAATTATTATTTTTTTATTTAACTTGGGTTAATTTTCTTTTATTTTAGTTGGGAACTTGTGTGAAGCAATTGGAAGAGAAAGAATGCTGAAATTGAAGGAAATATACAATTTTGAGGATTAAGTCTACACTATAGAAATTGAAGGACTTAATTGCATTACTTCTAAAGATGGGATGACTTGAGGAAATACAACATTAATGGGTCTGGACTTCAGTTAGCAATTGCAATTGGATTAGGAATGGAATTCTACAATTTCACGTGAATTGATTAGCGGCTATTGGACCTTAATTAGAGAATTCTGGTGCATTAATACACACACACGGAGACAGAAAGTGGCGTGGGGGTTCTAGAGGGCTAAAATAAAAGGAAAATATATGCACCGAACCCGCCGCAGGAGAAAGAAAGAGAGCAGGCAAAAGACAAAAACGGCTGAAGGTTTTCTGTGGGCTGAAATTATATATATGTGCACAACCCGCACTGGTAGAGAAGGAAGCTGGGAATGGATTCAGGCAGAAAAGACATAACAGAAGCAGAAGGAATTGAAGAGAAAAAGTGGGATGCGGCAGATTAATTTTGGAGGCGACGCAGATTATTTTTGGCCAGAATTAATCGTGTTTAGTCTATCTTTGGTGATGTTGTTCCACTTTTATTTATTTAATTTCAATATCATGTTAAGCTAGATTTATATGTGCTAGGATTTACGATAAATCTCGTATTTTGATTTTTTAATTATTTATTTTGCAATTTGATATTCAAACACCTTTGATGGATGTTGAATGATTTATATACACTTTCTTGCCTCCATAATTAAATGCGCGTGATTATATGAGTTTGGGTGGTTTATTTTATGCATTCGAAAGAAGTGAAATAAACTCAACAAGATATAAATCATCGTTTTGTTCATAGAGGATAGAAATATATCGATATGCATTATGTGAATCTTTAAGTGTTTACAAAACGTCAAGCATTCTTGTATATTGCATTTGTCATAGAAATATAGTCAAATGGTATGCTAGAATAGGTTCAATTCTACTCGAAGGAGATTGTTGGATAAGTTAGAAACATTGATTTTTCAACCAATTCATCGTGTTATCAAATTGTGCAATAGAGATTAAAAATGAACTTGCTTGATGATTCGGAATCCTAGTGCGCTTTTTCATATATTACTTTCTCCAAACTTTTGCATTCAACCATTATTTTACATTTAGTTTAATTATTCATCCATTATTGTTTGCATTTAGTTTAGTTACAACTTAATTATAAAAATCAATCATATTTCATGTTTCGGTTAAGGTCGGAATATGTAAAATCGAACTAGTAAATCTCTGTGGGAACGATACTTGGACTTTAAAATACATCTTATTACTTGAACGATCCATACACTTGCGATAATCAAAGTCGAACACAATTTTGACGTGAACATAGAGCATTGGTACCTCTTCACCAAACCGGGGAAGTTTCGTTATCCCCACTCTCTTTTATCTTGTTCTTTTACACATTGAGGACAATGTGTGATTTAAGTTTGGGGGTGATTGTACTTTTTAATTGTTATGATTTTGTGTTGACATATTAGATAGCTTTGTGGCTTAGCATGGTTTGATGTTTAAAATTGTTGTTGATTCATGAGTTATGACCAAATATGCTATTTGTGCCTGAATTTTTCAAAATTTGCTTGTCCATGTGAGATCTTAAGTCACTTTGAGCACAATAGTCATGATTAATTATTATCTAGATGTGGAGATTTTTGATTGATGGATATATTTTTTTGAATTGGTAAGAATTAGGTTGTGAGTTGCTTGAAAAATTGTATCAACATTTATTCTCTTCTCTTTCACTTTGCCATATTGTAAGATAAGTTTGGGGATGGTCGAGCCGGTGAAGGATATTTTCTAAAAGTGTGTTGATTCCATGCATATTGAAAAGAAAAAAACAAATTATGTGCAGTGTCTTTTACTAAGTATAAGCTAGGTAATGATCATATGCTAGAGATCTAACCCCCATTTATTTTGTAATGCTAAAAAGGAATATTGCACTTGTTGATTCTTGCATTACTTCGTAACTTTTTTTACTCGGGTTATTAAGTCTGTTGGGGTATCTCAAAACCCGATACCCTTTGGTCTAAACAAACGGGGAGTTATCGATCTAAAACTCGCTACAAGGGTCAATAAGAAAGGTTAAGGGAGTGAGATCAATCATGAGCTTTTATTGAAATTTTTGATGAAATTGTACAATTGTATTTGATATATGGACTTAGATAATTAGTGGGTTTGAATTACTTAGTATAAGCTTAAATGCCTAAGCACTCATATAGTGGAGAATCATCACATTACTAGAGGTTGATATTTCCGGTTAGACCCAATCGAATAAGAGCGAAAAATGAAATGAGTGAATTGAGAGTAACCTTTAGATTTACATCCAAGAAAAGAAAAGAAATATCTATTTGAGGAGTGTGATTCTCACAAGAGAGAAATGAAATATTTGACCATAAAGGGTTGGGTTGAAGTCAATTTGAAAATTTTTCCATCTTGATAACATTTTCATAATGTAGATGATGATTGTAAGTGACGATGCACCCACACACTGATCGAATATTGGACAAGCTAAAATGATTTTTGTTAGCATTATTTGGAGCATATTTGAAAATTGATTATACAATTTTACACTCATAGATATTTTTGTCAACCTATCTAATGTGTTGGTCATTATCACGTATTGCTTGATTGTGTTTTAGATAATCTTTCTCGGGACGAGCAAGAGTTTAAGTTTGGGGGTATTTGATAAGTGTATTTTTGCGTACTTATTTATTACTTAAATATACTTATTATTGATAAAAATGAGCAGATTTCTACTCACAATTATGTAATTATTGCGTTTGTAGGTAAAAATCACCAAAAGGAAAGAGAACAAGACAAAATAAGAAAAATGGACTAAAAATGTACAAGATTGTGAATCTAGAGACCAAGTTGCACAAGTGCCGAAAGTTGGAGGACATTGGGATGCAATTTATGGAGGGCAAACTTGATATAAAAGTCAAAATCCGAGGATCAAAATGTACAACATCAAAGTTGAGAGACTAACTATGCAAATTATCTTGAGGACCTCCTGTGTAATTTGTAATTTCACCAAGAGTGCGCACCCGCGCACTTTTGGTGCGCACCGACGCACTTTACTTTTGGAATGGTGCGCACCCGCGCACCTGTGCGTTGAAAATTATTGAAAACCAGAAATTTTGAGGGCATTTTGGACTTTTGTTTGTACTCGATTTTGGGAGTATTTAAGAACCAAATTTCATTACTCAAACCCTAGACTAGTAGTTTTGAGGAGTTCCTCTCTTCCTCTTTTCTCTCTTGCTAGTTTTTCCTTTTTATTTTATTTTCTTTCTTTCATTTTCTCTTATTTTCTTTTTTTTTTCATTTTTGCTTAGTATTTTGGAGATTAAATCAAAGAGCACAAGGAGTTTCTACTAAGAATTTGACAAAGATTTGAGAGAAAATCAATTTCAAGTTTCAAATAGGGTTTTATCTATACATTTGATTCTTCTAATTTATTTTGCCATTTTTGTAGTGAATGTTATACATATACTCCTTTGTTATCAAATGTATCGAATGTGCTAATTAATTGTGTTGGAATTTGTGACATTAGTTTAACCAAGTCTTGATTAATTTCTATATTTGCTAAGTTGCTTATTCTCATATGTTTTTATTATTATATTTCATGCATTTTCATTTATGTGGCCAATGAATGAATGTGTTTAGTGATTTGTGTATCATTCGAAAGAAGATTGTACATTTTGGACCAAATAGTTTTTATCCTAGGTTTGTGTAATGTATAATGGATAGAGATATACAATTAGCTCTAGGTGACCCAATGAGCTATTTTCACAATGATTGAATGCGATTGTTTGGTTGTAATCGACATAGAGATATAGTAGGTTAAATCAATCAATTAGGGTTAATTTCACTCGAGAGAGGTAATTAATTAATTTTGGGTAATCGGGTCTAACATCATAAGTAAGTAATTCGTTAATTGGCTTATAGAGAAATTAATTAGGCAATGATTAAACGAAGCCATGAATCTCAACCACGTTCTTCCTCCGAAATTTCCAAGTATTTGTGTTTTTCTTATTTTGTAGATTTTTAGTTTATTTACCGCTTTTCAAATCTCATATTTAATTGTGTGTGTTTCATTTGATTGTTAGAATTAAATTGATTAAAGTCGTGTAATCTAAAGTAACATTCCTCAAGGGATCAACAAACCGGACTCAAAAGTCCACTTTATCACTTGAACGCGACCCGTGCACTTGCGGTATATTATTTTAGCGAACACTAACAAATATACAAAAAGATTTATTGATTAATAAAATACATGCAAAGAGAAAATCCTGGGAGAAATTTCTCGTACATAGGATATATTCACTCAACCGATTTTTCATATTACACAAATTATGAAATTTTCGAGGAAATTCTCGTAAAGCGACCAAGTACTTTCCCCTACATATATCTCTAGGCATATCACACAAGGTTGATGATTTGTGCTCAAGTTAGAGTAATTTCCAACTCAAATTTTTCCTCAATTTGTCCATTTGTTTCAGTAATTTCTCTGTCATTTCTTGCTACAATTTTTTCATCTTGCTCAATGTTGTGAACATTGGCCTTCATTTCTCTTTTCTTCCCCCATAGAACACTATATAGTCCAACAATTATCAAGAATGCTCCAACAACACTGAATCAACCACAAAAGATAATTTATTAGAATAATTTCCCAATGATTCCTAGCTCGTCCATTGATAAAAAAGTAGAGATATACTTACGTTCCAACGTATAATTTTTCTTCGAGTAGAACCCAACTGAGAATGGCTACAATCACAAGCAACAAAGGGCTAAACACCGAGACATATAGAGGACCCTTCTTTCTAATACACCATGTCATGAGACAAAATGCCATTGCCGAGCATATTATTCCCTGTAACATGATAGTCTAGTCGGTAACTTAGTTTGCAAATTTCATTAGTCAAACTAATCGATGTGGACACCTTAAAGTATTTCTCGACTCTTCTTTTTCAATCACTCATTCAGACTACTTTGATAATTAAATAAGTCGAACCAATAGATATCGTACCGAGTAGATGGAAGAAACAAGCCTAATGGGTTGGCTTAATGACCAAGCTGACAAGTTATGGTCAAAGCCAAATGCAAAAATCACACATTGAACACTTGCCATTGTGCACATTATTGCTGAGCTTGAGTATGGAGCCCCATATCGTTGACACACTCTTGTCTGCATAACAACAATAACTAATAATTACTGAAAAAAATTACATGAGTTCATTATATTAAGTTCTTGTTTGGTTTTACTTAAAATCAATTTTTTAGTAGATTTTTTAAAAAAGTTGATGAAATATGTGGTAATAAAAATTGTGAGTCATGAAATGCGTGATTGAGAATGAGTTCGAGGAAAATGAATTAAAAAAATGAGGGCCAAACATGGGATAAGTCTCGATTCCCAAAAAGTAACTATTTTTACTTAAGATAATCGACTGGTGCATGTTCACAGTAATTGACATGGTAAAATATTTGATGGAATATTCTCGTCTAGATAAAATGAAGGTGGTGCACCGATGAGCCCGTGCAAAATACTCGAGGATATCATGCTATAGTGTTAATGATGTCCAAGTTAAGAGTATTAAATTTTATCCGACCGTGCAATATTATGTATTATAGCGTACTTTTGTATCGAATACGAGAAAGAGAGAATGAAGTGCTTACTTGGATGATTAACCAAATAGCCCAAGAAATAGCACTAACAAGGAGAAGAAAAGGGCCCAAAATCAAATTAACATGGTTGATTGAATCTTTGGTTCCTGTCATCTCTGCATATTTCCAATGAACACTTGATTTACCTATATTCACCACATGTCCATGGTAAAATGACAACATTAATGCACCACCAACACAAATTAGGGTACCCAACACCTTGGCTTGACCTCCCTTTGTCCTCAGTCCCAACCTTTCTAGCCTGCCAAGCATACACATACTTATATCAAGATTGGTACGAGATACTGTTATTATTGTCGACACAAGACAGTCGACCCGTCCAAGATAGGGATTGAATATATGTATTGGAGAATCCCATTTATATCAAATTTTTTAATATTTATTACACCTTATTAAATACATGCTCGACTCCACATTAATGAATAGAGGTCAGTTGATTTCGACATAAGAACCGATAAATTTTATCGTACTTGATCTCTTATTCATATGCAGTCGATATGAATAGTCGGGAAATTTTATATTTAGTGAAGAATGCAATAAGAGGGAGTGTAAATACATTACCCAAAAGGAATAGCCATGACAAATGTGACTGCAGGATTTATGTTTGTCAATGCACATGCAATGGTTGGAGTGGAATTCTTCAGTCCAACAAAATATGTGATCTGATTCATTGTGACCCTGCAATTTGTATAGAGAGAGCTTTAGAATTATTGTCATCAACATAGCCATCACAGGTCGAGTCGAATTGTCCACGAGCCCACTAGATACAAGATGTTCCACTCGATCGCCGTGGCTACTTCAACATTTGTACATATTAAGGTAACAAAATGTAACCTTGGACTTACCCGAATATGGAACATAGGAATATTTGGAAAAAGATTGATAGTGTCATTCGAGGTCTTGTTGTCCTGTCAAGATTAATTTGTGTTATTTATGTATGTATGAAGTGCCGTGTACAAGACGAATACGATGATCATCAAAAAGGCAATGATATTTCATGCTACCGAATAATGTATAAAAGTCACGCGTATGGTATGTTTGTTATGCAATAATGAATAATAAATAAAATTTTAATTTATTTTTCTTTCTCAGTTATGCTGAGTATTGGATTTGAATTCTCAATGTTAAATTTCTTCTTCTTTTTTTTTCAAGGACTAAAAATTTTACAGAGTAAAATTAAAAATTAAAACAAATTTCAATGAAGAATAGATTGAAATAAAGAAAAAGAAAAATCAATGAAGTATAGTTTTTTTTGCAATAGTTTAGTTTACTATTAAACAGAAAAGAGAAAAAGCATGAGAGATACTTATTTCTCTCATGCTTATAAGTAAAATAAAGCAACCAAACAGTAGATCACGGCAAGCCAATGACAAGGCCAAGGCAAAGCCCTCGTAATTAATTAACGATTAATTTCCATACGAACTGCGTGCATTATGGGAACGTGTATATTAAAAAAATAAAAATAAAATAAATATTGACAAATATACAATTTATACTAGTTTGAGCATAGTTACCTCTCCGAGAAATAAGCGAACGGGGCGAGGCATATAGAGGCAAATATTTGTCGATACGCAACATGAACATACGGGTTCATACCAGAATCCATGGCAAGCTTCGATAAGATGTTCATCCCGGCATACCCCAATTGGACAATAGCCATAGCCAAGAAAGGCAAGAATTTTTCTCCAACCATTTCCAAATTTCTCCGGCTTAACCGATCCTCCGAACACAAGAACTTACGCCGAAAAGAAATCGAGAGATTTTGTGTGAGAAGAATTTAGAGCAAGAGCACAAATTTATAGCTGATGATGACATATAGGAAAAGAAAGCTATTGAAGAAGTAACCCCTCCTCTCCCTCATGGAAAATCAGGTGGGGAGACAAACTATCAAGAAAACAGCCAAAATTTCTTGGAATGCATGAATTTCATGCATGCCATTCTTACTTTCCGTTAAAAACATTTGGTGTTTTCCAGACCAAAAAAAAAAAAACTTGAAGTGAATAAATTGAAGAGGTTCATATATAGAATGGAAAACAGACTTGGGAGGTGATCAATTTTTGTGGGCCCTCATAGAGGTCACAACTTACATTAAAGTGATTTAAAACGCACTATATGCCAATTTTTCTAAGGAGGGGAATTTGAGGTTTTTTATCTTTTTTTATATATTTAATATGAGGGATGAATTTCAAATTTATAGTAAAATAATAATTCGTATTGTAGTTTATATTTAATATGTGACATTGCACGCAATGTACATATATGCGCTTTATATGATTAATTGTTGTCGTTTAGCTTGAAAGGCCATGAGGACACGTCATATCGGGGAAAGCGTAACATTGGTTTTTCGTATTACAAGAATCCACAAGAGCGATGTGCTGAAATCATCTTCGAAACCTTTTTTGTGTCTTCGCTGATACACGAGCGGGTTAGTCATTATGTGGTATTGGATATTTTGCCTCAAGTTGGAGCCCCTCCATCTGTCATATTTATAGCTTGTTTAGGAGAGATTTTTCAAGTAAAAATAATTTATTTTTTTTTTTTGGAATGTGGGTTGAAAATTATTTTGAAATAAAATGATTTCTAAAAAATCTCTTCCAAACAAGTTCTTAGCATAATGAAATTCTCATACTCTATATCTTGTCACCCTTAACTATTTGTAAAGCCCGAAACACTTATGCAACCATGTGTCCTTGGCTTACACTCTACAAGGTTAGATAAATAGACACGTATATTTTGAGTTAACGAACTAACAAATTTGTTTAGAGTATCTTGTACTTTTGGTAAAGAAAAAAGCACGTTTTTGAACCAAAAAAAAAAAAAAAAAGCTCTTAGAATCGTCATGGGCCCAATATTTTGTGGGCACGTCATGCAGGCCCATGGTGGGCTTACAATTGGAATTAGTGGAATTAACCACGGTCTGATCCACCACCTTGACCTAAATTTGGGCCTGGACAACTGGATACAATTTTGGGTTGGCCTAAAAGAGGGGCTGTGTAATGTTGGGCCTAGCGATGGGGTTTGGGGCTTCGAGCAAGACCCTCTCTCTTTTCTTTTTCCCTCTGGTGCAATTCCTTCTTTCTCTATATATAACTTGTCATTTGATACCTTTCAAATTAGCCATATTTGGACACGAACATTACTAGATTTCGAGAAGAGCCCGAAAGACCCATCTCGAACATTCTAACGCCTCTAAAGCGTAAATATACCAAATACGTCGGTCATAATAGGTGGACGTCCCATATCACTCTGTATAAACATCTCTAAAATTTGCAATGTTTGGGCACAAGTACAACTAGGATTTGACATGGACGCAATACGATCTGTTATCGTAGATTTGAAACTCGTTTCATGTCGAATGTAGATAAAACTAGAAATCTTTAAAATATTTTAAAGGATTGGGGTTATGGGTCGAGATGGAACAAGCACGTCTCATCACACTAGGTGGGCCATCCCAGACTGATCCAAGCAAACACCTCTAAAATTAGCCATGTATGGGCACAGTCACAAGTAGGAGTCTTTATATTTTAGATCGTGTGTTTGAGTCATATTATTTTGGACAAAAGTATTTTGTAATAGTAGATTAATGGTTGAAAAAGAAAGAAAAGTTACTTGTGTGATAAAAAATATTATTTTATTGAAGAATATGTGATTGAAAATGAATAGAAAAATGAGAGATGTTCTGAATGTTTACTATGCCGTTAACGAAACAAAATAGCGTTTATAGTAATTACTGTGTCAACTGAGAATAACAACAAATATGTGTTTTTTCACTCTGTTTTTCCCGTGTCTAATAATCAGCAGCACCGTGTTCCTTCAAAACAAATTCGCTTCTTTTGGATGAATTCTAGTTATATATAAATTGTAGTTTCTTTATATAATTTCTTAGTTTGAGATCTGAATCCCACATCAGATTTTGGTGAGTATTTATTTCGCTGCTATTTTTTCTTTATTTCTTGCTTTACCCATCTGTTTATTAACTTAATTCTTCAAAAAGATTGGATTTTTAAGGGTTTTTGTAGTATTATTTGTTAAGAAAAGCTAGGAACGTGAAATTATCTGAATTTATTGGCATTGCATTTATTGCAATTGGTTAATTGTGTTAATTTGGTCAGTGATGTCACAAATTTGCTTATTTTTAAACCCAAAATGCTTTTGAGAGGGTACTGAATGCTAGGTTGTTTGGGGTTTCCTTTTATTAGCTAGAATCCTCTTTTTCTTTAAACCGCTAGGGTTTTATGTTCATCTTTTTCCTTTTGAATTTCTCTTGATTTGGTAATAAATCTGGGCTTGTAGATTCTTAGTTGGTAATGGATTACGGTCAAGAGAACATATTTTCTGGTGGAAATGTAGTACAAGTCCTCTCGGGGAACTCCGGAAATGGTGTCAATGAGAATTGGGGATCTGGGCCGCTCGAAGAGGCAGTTTGGGCAACCGAGGATGATTATGGGATGTGGAATAGAGAATCTTCTGTTGATGCCAGTTTTAATTCGAGTTATGACGGTAGGCAATCCCAATTGCAATCTGGAAGCGAACCACCGAACAAAAGATCAAGAAATGCTCACTCGGGGTCGAAAGTGATTGGGAAAATGTTCTACAAAACTAAGCTCTGTTGCAAATTCCGAATGGGCACTTGTCCGTATATCACCAACTGTAATTTTGCGCATAGTAATGAAGAACTCAGAAAACCTCCCCCTAATTGGCAAGAGATTGTTGCTGCACATGAGGAGGATCAAGCAGCATCAGCAGAGCCGAGGGAGGAATTTCAGATACCAATTCTAGGGGTTACAGAAGATACTCAGAGGTCTTATAAAGGGCGACACTGCAAGAAGTTCTATACTGAGGAAGGTTGCCCATATGGTGAGAATTGCACTTTCCTTCACGATGAGCAGTCAAAAGCCCGAGAAAGTGTTGCAATAAGTTTAGGCCCAGGCTCTGGTGGCAGTGGTGGATATGGGAACAGTGGCAGTGCATCAAACTTGAAGCCCTCAAATTGGAAAACAAGGATTTGTAACAAATGGGAGCTAACGGGATATTGTCCATTCGGCAGCAAGTGTCATTTTGCTCATGGAGCAGAAGGTATAACTTCTAGTTCTGCTGCATATTTCGTAGTATATATGATGATTTTTCTTGACTGGTGTGTGTAGTTTATTAACCTTTCCCAGATTTTAAATTCCATTAGTCAATCAATTACTTGAGAGAAGAAATGTGATCTAGTGAATGCTACATCTCTGTGAATAATTGTCTCCTAACATGCTCGAAGTTATATGATATATTGTTCCCGATCTTCTTGTCCCTTTTCTCCTCTTCTCACTGCACATGCCCTAGCTAGCAGACTAATCAAGCCAATACCTTTTAAATTTTACTGCTCGAGACCAAAAACCATTAAAGATGCCTATACTTTCGGCTTTCTAATGGAAACCCAAAATTACCCTCCTTGTTTACTTTATTATACTTTCTTTCGTTTATTTTAACCTAGATTTTAAATGGGGTTAAAAGTTGGTCACTCAACATTTCTTTGGTCATCAACTTTACTCTCTGCTTCAGTTATATCACCTAGTTAGCTTCTGATACTAAAATTAACGGATTGTCCAATATGGCAAAGAAATATATGATGTGACAAGCTGACTTGTAGGACAATCTGTAAATTTAATTAACTGAAGCCCATTTTGGTGATGTCAAAAGGAATTGAGTCATCAATATGAAACCCAAAAAAAAAAAATCAGTGACTAAAATGAACTTCATTGAAAGTTGAGTGACCTCGATGTTTTTACTCTTTTAAAAGGACATTGCCTTGCATTGCAATTGATGCCATTGAAATACTCGAAAACACTCAAATACAATACAAAATATTGTGAACAGAAATAATCAACCATTGAATTCTCTTTCGACATTCATATTCTAGAATCCAGATAACTATTATTGGTTCTTTTCTTTTTTTTCCATATTTTATACTCATCTTTTTCCACTGCAATTATTCGTAGACGTCCTGCCCATGTTTGATGCTGAGGCAATGCCATGTGTCCAAAATTCATAATTTTTATTCCAAAATGCCAATGTAACCAAAATGTGCTCTATATAGCTCCTGTTTGAGCCACGTTAAAATTTTCATTCTCATTTTCAACCCCACATTCTCCATCGATCTATTATTCCAAAATACATTCTTCTAAAATAATGTGGCTCAAACACACCCATAAAATTCAGTGTTTGCAGATTTAAAATACATACACTTGAATAATGTGCCATCAAATTTAACTTATGAATGGATGAGTATCTATTACATTTGGATATTGCACATTGAATTAGTCAAACTTTAAGTTAATAATTTATTTGTACCTCAACAATTTTAAAAGATAATATATAGTTAGTCTAATAATTCGTTTAAATGTAAATTAGCCATATGGACCTTGAAAATCTTGTCTCTTGCACATCATTGTGTCTCAAATAGTCTGCTGCTCTAACATTGGCGTAATTTTCATTTTCTGTAAACAGAGATTATGGAAAGGCAAAACATAAAGACATTTGGATGCTAGGTTCTTTTGCCTGTCCATCTTCCTGTTCCCTCTCTATATATAAACTGTATAGGTTACTCAGATGAGAAACAGGAAAGAGAGAATTAACTAATGAGTGCCGTGAATAGTATGGGGAGTTAGAAGTTCGACTAGCGGTGAAATATACAGCCTAAGATCCTTTTCCTGCTTATGAGTCTTTTCCTTTAGATGTATTAGATAAATAGGTGCAGAAAATTGCTTAGCGAAATGATAGTTAATATGCAAAATACCCAGGGCAGACCTAGAGTCGAATTTTTGGGCGCGCTAAAATTTTAAAAGGGTCGACAATATCACTTAACTAATTATTTGATACGATGATTTACCTTTTGATTTTAGTTTCTTAAAAATAACTTTTATTTTGTAAACTTGATTTAAGTGATATTGGCCCAATACATTTGACCCTGGCCTACAGCCCACCATATCCCATGCATAGGTCCGCCCATGAATATACCTATTGATTGTACAAAAAACATGCATTAAATATCTTAGTCAGCTGGGTTGAAGTTCTGTACTGATTGTTTTAATAAAAATCATGAAAATATGCCTGAGGTTTAAGCAATATACATCTTGGATAACAAAAAAGATTGAGATTACCTTCACACTCACTGGTCCTAGTTATGCTACATGTGGACGGGTGCATACTCGAACATTTTCAATGAAAGAGGGGAGGCAAGAAGAGTATAGGTTTTGAGAAGAATTTAACTTCAAATGACATAATCATTGTTTAAATTGTTCATAAATTTTATTTCCCTTGTGGTAATTATCATTATGGCATTTAGTTTGTTGGTTGATTATGAGTTCAATATATTTCTGAAACAGAACTACATTCTTATGGTGGAGGACCGGTGGAAACAGAAGCCAGAGATTCTTCTGCTCCTGATCCCAAGCAAGGGGTCATACCTTCCAAAACTTCAGTCGATACTGTCGTCCCATCCCTCACTTCAGTGCCTCATCCTGACAGTTACCATATCATTGTTCCATCACAAAGGTTGTCCAATGTGATACAGAAAACTGGGCCAAGAATTCATCAGAAGTGGAAGGGTCCAGACAAAATTAGCAAAATCTATGGCGACTGGATTGATGATTTTGAATAGATTATCTAGTTGCACATGTGGAAAATAACCTAGTGGAAGTTGTATCCAAGAAACTTACAATGGGAAAATAAAGAGGATTTCACTGTTAGTGAGAGAGAACCTGTAGTACCCTAATGTATTGCATGTATGGATATCGTCTTGTAAAATATCAAGCCTGTGGACTGTGAGACTTCGGTTTTAAGAGTTTTGAGTTTTTTGAAGGGGTTTTTCGTTAGGAGGTTTTGTAATACATGCATAATATGTACCGTATCGTGAGCAGCAACCCTTGTCTTTTTATTAGTCGAAAAACAAGGCACTCCAAAACCTAATTTTCTTGTAAATGAGTGCAATTTTCCTTGTCTTGTTTCTCACCCTCTTTAACTTCCAAGTTAAACTTTTGTTCCAGAACTTATAGTTATGTTCGTAAACGGTTCCTGAACTTTAAAATGTCAATATTTAGTCACTTTCACCATTTACGACCGTGCCTGTGTTCAGGGATGGACCAAGTTTTCAAACCACCTATCTTCTATTGGGGCTAAAACCATGCATTCTATTGCTGGCACTAGTATTCATGCATCAGCTACAGTTTATTGAAAAGTAAATCTCATCAGTTCATTGAGTTCACTGGCAACCAATCTTGGGTTCCAGTGGCCATTTTCAAGGTTCTTGTTATGTTAATTTGTATATTGCACTGTTAAAGGCGTGAAAAATCTCTGAATTTTTTTGAACATGATCATAATTAGTTTACTGAAATCAAAGTATTTGATGGCCCAAAATTCTAATTGAGGTTTTGAAATTGATTTTGAGAAAGCATAATGTGCATCTAAAAGGCTAGAGTTCACACCTGAGTTATAACTTAATACTTCAGTTTCTAAGGGTGTAATAAAACATTGCTGAGCATGAAAAAAATAAAAACAAAAGCTACAAATCATTCTTGTACATTCTACTCAGCTCAATTGAAGGGAAACGCTCATCTCTATATATACAACCTCTGAACAGCGCCCACCAATTGCACGGTCCAGAAACACGGATTGATCAACGGTTAGGAAAGAGCAGGCTCGGGGATTCCACAAGCACAGGCCAATGAGAAAACACTGTATTCACCATACATCAACACATGCCCCCAAAGTATGAACCTTGCAGCGGTATCCTTTGCCGCCACATGGCCGGCCCTCGCAAGGTATTTCCACAACCGAACATTTCTGCAGGGATCCAACTCTTTCTCAACAATAATTCAAAAATTAAGTTCGGTTTAAATCAATTTTCCTCGTCTACTGCCCCAATGTACGTGAGGTCTGTCCTCCTCACTCTTACGGCTCCCTTAAGCCAACTGGATGCCTTCAGATTAGCATGATCGGTGCTGCCAACAAGAGCAGAGTTAACTGAAGGCTGACCTGACCCGGCTCCATCCTCCAAAAGGGTCCATGGGTCAATCTCCATATCAAAGTCATGCTGCAATTGGAGAGCCTTGGTTTTCACATTTGTGCCTGTGCGTGATGGTAAAGGTAGATTCCTCGGAAGGAGATTCGAATTGAGAGGGTTTAATGCAGTTGTTTGATTGCTGGGCTGAAGAAAAGCAAGGGAAGCAGGTGATACTGATGGAGGCTGGCAAGAAATCATCAACCGGGGAGAGGGAAAGAGAATTGGCATCGCAGTTTGGATGCGCCACCTAATTGTCTCGGGCAATTCCATACGGTTCAAATCATTCTGCACCAATACATATGAATCAGACATGCTGCTGCATAACTTCTTCATTTACGAATATGTATAAATCAATTGTAATGCAGTGTAGAAGAAAATTCAAAAGACATTGAGCAGGAAAGACAACAATAGAATTCTACCGCATTACTTTCCAACCCACTACCCAATAAAACAATTTGAAGGGATGGCGACAACAGACCTGAAAGCTTTCTGCCACTTCACGATCAAAAACAGCATATTCCATGGATTTGGAATCGTATTTCAGCTTCAGCCAGCTTGGCTGAGAGTTGCTCAGCAGTGCATGGAAAACCAATAATAGACTATCAAAAAGACTTTCCATTGAAGGAAGTTCAAAAGCAGTAGAACTCCCCACGAGAGACTCTACCTCTCTCTTCAATGGAGACAATGTAGAATTAAAAATGCATTTGGCATCTTCATGCACAACAGTGCTTCCAAGGAGGCGATAAATCACAGATGCAAGTGTACATCTCATTTAACGGCCTGAAGTCTCCCTGGAAAGTATGAATTGGAAGATTGAAAAATATAATTAGAAGTATCTGACGTAGGATGCAATTGAACAATTATAGGAAATATAAGGATCAAAATTGGAAACTAAATTAAAAAATATCTACACTAATATTCCCAACAGTACAATTATAGGCAACATAATTGTTATTTCTCTCGAACCCTACTATGAAAAATCAACAGTGACTAACAAATAATATCAAGCACTCT